CGCCTGTAGTCCCAGCTACTTGGGAGGCTGAGGCAGGAGACTCGCTTGAGCCCAGGAGTTGGAGGTTGCTGTGAGCGTGATGCCATGGCACTCAAGCTACCCAGGGGGATAGCTTGAGGCTCCGTCTCAAAAAAGAAAAGAAATACATGATTTGGAGATTGTGGTATCTATTTCAGCAATAAATTAATTTGGGGATTTTTTTTTCCTTTTTAATACGTTAGGTCAAAAGACTGAAAAGATTTTTCAAAAATTTGACCCAGAACTTCTAAGTTTTACTTAATTTTAAGTGAGAAAATTCTTTATGTCTGAGTTAAAAATTGTAATTTCTATGAAAACTGCACGTTTCTCTATAAGAACATATTGTCTGTTGATCAGTAATCTATTTCCTTCTGTCTTAATAACTCCGTCTTTCTCAGGTTCCAATATCTAAATGGAAAGTATAATACTTACTCTTGAAGATCAGTAATAACTTTTTCTTTTGCCTCTACTTCATCTCTCAAACTACTGATTTGTTTCTGATGAGTTTCTCTGTGGCTCTGGATCTGCTGTTCTACAGCTTGCTAAAATTTTGAAAGGAGAAGTATTTAAGTCAAGAATAATCAAAATTAATTCAATAATGGATTAAAGTAAGTAGAATACAATGAAACATCAAACTTGCCTTAACTTCATTTGCAGTCTGAACCTTATTTAAGTGTTCCTTTTCCATTTCATGCACTTTCTCTGTTTGGGTAGGAAGAGAAAAGCCTTTAGTTTTCTCATATAAACCAAGGAGCAAAAGGATTTTATGAAGTACAGTCCTTAGCACTACTTGACTTTAAATGTCAAAAAATACATCTTGCTCTCTTAGGTCAAGTACATGATGCTAGATCAGCCATTTCTACTTTCAAATACAATCTCAGAAAATATTTAAAAACACCATTAACACGTATAATTTGTTTACCATTCCAAGTTATCCATATTCCTATAGTTCTATATTCAGTGTGAATATAAATTTATTATAACTGCATTAAAAGAATTAATATAACTGGTAAATAATTGGGAGCTAATAATACCTTGTGCTCGAAGCTGGACTAGTTCCTCACTCAGGGAATCAACAGACTCCTCCAATTGTCTTTTCTTTTGTTCCACATTTTGAAGGTATTCAGTCAACGACTTGATTTTGGCTTCATGCTTTGGGAAAAAATATACTGCTATGAAATGGAAAAAATACCTCATGCACACATTTTGTTAAGAACATTTGAAGGTTTTTCTGATATATCTATGGTTTTATCTGATATACATCTATGATAAAGCTTGAAGATATTTAAACCTGAGTTCAGAACCCAGACTTAAAATGTTAAAGAATTTAATCAATTAAATGGCCATGTATATTTGCAAATGAAGGCAATAGAGACTGAAATATGAAATAATATTCTTATAGTTACCCCCTTTCCTATGATAGTCCTATCTTAAGGAATGGCCCTATAGTTCAGTTGCAAAAGGCAGAAAACTGGTCTCCTGCAGTTTTGCCTATGCTGTAATTCTTCTAGAATCTTCAACAGTCAGCATCAGTCACATCTTTCTAGTAAATTTCTATATATAACCCATATACATGTTAGCAAATATAATGTAGTTATATCATTTCAAGTTATTATATTGCAGCTAAACTAGGAAAGACAGCTGACTAATCAGCCTTTTTATTTTGTTACTCAAGCTAATGAAGCTCGTTTTTCTAAAAACCTTTATAATTTTTGTATGTAGATGGTTCAAAAAAAATGAAGAAAATTTGTTACATAACAACATACTTGAGAGATGCGAAGCTGACAGGCTGCTAACTCCTTTTCATTTTCTTCCATCTTTTTGTTGCTCTCGGTTTGTGTACTTTCCAACTGTTTGCAGCGTTTCACCATTGTTTTTACTTCTGACTTCATTTTGCTAATGTAGAGCCTTGCAACAGTGAACTCCTCATCGATCATGCCAGTTCCCTCAGGCTGCTGTGAGAAAAGGTGAAATAAAAAATCAAAGCCAGAAATGTGCAGGGTGTTTTCCAATGAGACTCTAAAATCTTATCACAAAATAATATATATATATATATATATATATAAAAA